TTGGTTGAGGGATATCCAGAATTATTATTATAGTTTTGTTGGTTGAGGGTTATCATGTATTATTATCATAGTTAAAAGTGTTTCCATAGAAGAGCTTGCAGAACAGATTTGAGTTTCTGAAATATTTTCACCAAGCTTATGAAGTATTAGCATTAATGCATACATATACACAATTTTTTTTACATCACCCATTTTCAAGTATGATGTGATCACAGATGCACTTAACCCAAGTGAACACTCAGAAAAGCATATTGGCTAAGATGGTTATCACACTGTAGTATTAAGAAATATTGTGTGTCATAGTTATGTAGAAATATGAAATTATTGGTGAATTTTTTCACATTTTCATTATTTTTAATATACTGTCATAATTATATTTTACTGTAAACTGAGCTCTCAATTTTGGATAGTTGTGGATTTAATAAAATCTGCTTTTTGAATTTTAAATCATTCCATCAACTTATCTGCAACTTCAATTTTTTTTTTAAACATTATCTTATATTTTGTTTCAATCTCACTTTTACTGGGCTGTAGAATTTCTTTGATCAGAAGTCTGTTAGGCCACCTGGATTGCACTGGAAACTTCTTCATTTCAGTTTATCAACTATGTTTAAAGTTGAACTTTCAAAAGCTCCTTTTATTTGGCCTCTTTTAATTTTTTGCATTCACTGTGAGATCCTGTGCTTTTTATTGTCCTTATTATTTATTGAAGTGCGGAGCCTAAAAAGAGAAATGTTGAAGTGATATTCAACTATTGACTAAAATCGGGTTTGAAACAGCAAAACAAGATCTGGTAAAGATACCGTCATTTGGTGATTTCTGACATTTTTTTCTCATTGCTATAGCTAAGTCCCCCTTTTTTTGAAGATGAAGAATAATCTGTAGAGAAGGGCTTTGAAAAATCAGTGTTTTATTACTGTGTTATAGCTGGACAGAAAAGCTGTTGTTACAGATGATACTACAGTACTAAGTCTTTAATCTGGACATCCATAATCCGGACCTCAAAGCGTAAGTAAAGGTATTATGCACATGCGTAAATGCATAATGCGTTTACGCATGCTGACATTAAAATCCATTGCAAAACCTTTAAATAAATCTGTAGCAACAATAAATAAAATAATAAACCAAAATGTGCAATTTAAAAAGCTAAAAAATATGATATTCTTCAACTTTTTCAAGGCAGATGGCTCAGAGCAAAACAATTTATAGAACCCTGTATGAAAACTATTTAGCAGGAGATAAATTGAAATACATTGTGATCCTTGATGGCAGTTTACCTAAATGACTGCAACAGAAAATGGGTCTATATAGTATTGAAAATAAAGAGAAAAAAGTGTACAGACCTAGTTCCATTTATGCAAAGAAAGTTTCAAAGGATTTTGATAACTGTGGGAGTCTCTTAGGGAAATCAAAAATAAGAAGAGGTAGAGAAGAATGTGAAAGTCAACTTAACGTACTAATAAGAGAAAGTTCTATGCCTGATATATGCAAAAGAAATGATCCCAGTGATTTTCAAAAAGCGGTACTTCGTCAAGACAAACAAGTTATACTTCAAAAAGTACCAGAGCATTGCTTGAAAAAAATGAAGACTGATGCATGTATTGCATTTATAACTTTTCAACATATTTTTGTGAAATTCCCTGAGGATTCTCTATGGACTATTGTACCTTTGGTCTTTTGAAAAGAGCTCTTTCTAAGTACTAACTAACCATGATTAATGAACTGTGGAAAACAGAGGAAGAGGAATAAGGAATCAGTAGGCCTGGGAATTTTACAAAGAGTCCTTCTATTATGGAAATTACAATGCAGACTTAGTCTAGAAAATAGGCTATCAGATCAAATATTTAAAAAAATTAAATTTAAATAAATGTAATGTTTAAAATGTAAAGAATATAAACTATTTATTGTCTTTACATTTTAAACGTTAATTAAAGTGTTCCAGAATCATTCTAAAAAGTATGTTAACATCCTCTATACCTATTGTCTTGATATACCATTTCTTATAGAAGGTACTGAAATTGATTCCTGCAAGCATCCAAATGTATCTGAACAGCTTCTATATGCTAATAAAGTGGTGTGATTTGGTGGGTGTTGGCTTTTACTCAGAAAGGCATTTTCGTCTGGTTAGATCTTTCTCTTTAATGCTCTAATGCTGTTCTCTTTAATGCTATAATGTTTGAAAAAGTTTATCTGAAATGAAAAAGTAAATTAAAGACTCAAAATCATTGACATTTCTGCTTTACAATAATGTCATGACCTTAAATGAGAGCATGACTTTAAATGAGAAGCAAACTGTAAATGAGTTTTCTCCATCAATCTTTTAGCTTGGTGAAAACTTTCTAAACATGTTAGTGATGATGATTCATATTCCTTAATGATTAATGATTTAATTTTCTGATGAGCTTTCAAATTATCATCTTTAGCATACACTAAAATATCAGAAGATTTGACACCTATCAATTTAATTAAAATTTCAGACTTAAATTCATTTAGTACATTCTTATGTTTAAAAGCTCTTTCAGTTGAGTAAAAAAGTAAGTTCCATGCTTTATTCTATTTAAGTACCATAATCAAAATTATCTGTACAGCTTTCAAAAGTTTAATGAAAGTAATTTTTCTATGTTGTTACTAGTTTCATTACTGCTTTCATTTTGTGTGACAAAGGTAATTTTGAAATTTAATTTTTTCTTTCTTCAAATATAGTATTAAGAAATTCAATGATGAAATCTTTATCTTTCAAATACTCTTTAGAACTTAAAAGTTTATCGCTTAATTCTACAAGTTTTAAACTGGAATCTTCACAGAGTTTCTTCAACATCAAAATAAGGTCACTTTTAATTATTCCTTTAAACATATTTACAATCAAGCTTTTAAAAAATTACAACAAATATTCTCACATTTCTGTTAACTCCAATCACTTTTGATTTCCTCTGGAGTGGCATGAGATGAGTGTGTTTATCATGCTTGACAGGATGGCAAAGGTATATCCAAGATAAATCTAATGTTTAACATTTTTTATTATCTATAAACACGACTTTGCATACAGGAATATTTACAGAGGTTAATAAAATACAGTTTAAGGAAATAACCACAGATTTAAATGTTTTTAACTCAGGTGTTATCTCAACACCCTGCAAAATTATATCAGCTATGCCAGTTAAAAACCAAACTTAAATTCGGGTGCGAACATCCTACTGAAGTTATTGCAGACAACTCCAATCTTCCACTGCCTGTCTGCCTCTCTCGCTGGGTCTTAACTAGCAATAAGGAAGAAGCTGATTGGCTAACTGAGAGACATGACAGACATTTCTTAGATATAAATTTTCTAACAATAAGCATATTCCCTTGCATGTTTCTTTGTTAAATAGAAATATTATGTTATTAATAAGCATATTCCCTTGCATGTTTCTATGTCAAATAGAAATATTATGCTTACTTGTTTAGTCAGATTTTTAAAGTGAAATAATTTAACTATATATTTTAATATTTTGTGTTCTCTTATAAGCGTGGGTATTGTAATTTAGTGCATTGTCAGTATGAAACTTGTTATTACAAAATCTAATATAAAAATTTTTCAGTATTTTCACAATAAAATATTGATGTTATATTTTATGACTTTTGCTTCAGTCTTATTCTTGAAATTTTGCTGTTAACGTTTTGCTTATTGCATATCTGTGTTTGACATCAAACTTTTCATGTGTAACATTGGCATGTGCATTTTGATATTTCACAAACCTCAAGGCTGTACTGTAAATATAGATTGTACACATCCAAAATATAGATGGAATTTTAATAGAACTGGTAAATGCGGATAAGTTGTTTCGAATATAGATAATTGTTTTATTGGTATTGAATCTGATGTCATAAAATTATTTTCTTTCAATTGCCCCATCTACATTTCCAGCATTTGTTCTGAAGAAGCAGTGCATAATTTTTACAATTCTTTTTAAGTTAAGCACATATAAAACCCAAGTTAAGCAAGTATAAAATTTTTCCTCTCTCTCTCTCTCTCTCTTTTTTTTTTTTTTTTTGTTATATAAGCATTCTTAAAATTTTGTCAAGATTTTGTGAGCAATTTACATAATGCTGCTGATCTAGATAAAAATATACTGCTTTTTTAGATATAATTGTAAAGTTATATAATTATCATTGCAAATTTGTTATATGGAAAGTTTTAATTCATAGTTTTAATTCAAATTCATAGACATGTTAACAAGATTGCTAAAATATTTTCTCCTTTCCTTAGAAATTTTATATTCAATTCATGTTATATGACAGTAAAAAAATGCAAATAACACTGATATTTTTTATCTTTGATTATGGCATGTTTTTGAAAATTTCCATTGATTAAAGAAATCTGTCGTATTAAAACCATTTAAAAACTTTGCAGTACATATCTATGACTTAACTATACAATTTTCTTTCTTAGAAAAATACATAAATATATTTTTTAAGGGATCTAAGGAAAGGAGAAAATATCTTAGCAATCTTGTTAATATGTCTATGAATTTGAAATCAATCCATAAAATCAGTGATAAGCTAATAGAATATTTTGTTTGATATGTATACTGACCAATAAGGTGGTTTATAAAGCCAAATTATTGATCATAGAGATTTATGCTAATAAATGATTATGTTTGTTCACCACAGACATGTTTTATCTAGTGCCAAAAGTGAAGTGAAATTAGGACCTTTGATATGCTTTATTATGAAAAAATGTCTACTGTGCATGCATAATGCATTAAGTATATGTTATTCTCAGAATGTAATTCTTTCTCCTTTTTTCACAAAAAAAAAAAAAAAAAAAAAAAAAAATTCTTATTGTAACATTCCAGAAACTGGACATCCTGATTTTGAACATTATACTGTATAGCGTCATTTAATTTTCTCCATATTAGAATATATGTATGTTAATATCACAGACTGATGGTTTTCATATATGTTGATATTCTTCATGATGGAGTAACTTTTGATAAAGATTTATTCACATTGTGATAAAATAAAATCTAGTCAATAAACTTTATTATTTATTTTTAATGTGCTAAGAGTGCCTGATGAAAAAGGGTAAAATATTTAAGGGAGCTTTGTATTCATATAACCACTGTGAGCCTTCAAGTAATTTTCCTGTCTGAACATCAGTCCATTTACCTTCAGGAAGGTATATGTCACGTTTCTTCTTTCCCCATTCTAAAACTGGGGCTATCATTATTCCATCCCCTATAAGAAACTGTGAATCAGTACTTAATGCAACAATATCTTCTGGTGCTATCCACCACAGTGGACGAATGATTGGTTCTCCAGTTTCTGTAGCTTGTATTGCTGATGTTAGTATGTGTGTGGAGTATTTTTCATGCAAAGCAACCATCTTTCTTGAAATATTAACTACTTCATCATCATAATCCCATGGCGTTATTGAGAACTGAATAGCAGGAAAGAAGATGCATGCTTCTAGCCAGCGAATGTACAACTCTTTGTCAGGCAAAGAACCTATTGGGGAATTGTAATTATTGCCACCAATCATATCTGGTAGTATAAAGTTATAGCCTAACAATGATAAATGAAGGGCTGATGGTATTATTGTTTGCAGTCCATTTGCATAATCCCAGTGAGAAAATTTGTCAAACATGCGCACAAATACTGGAAGATGCTGAGATTCATATCCAATTCTAACTTCAACTTTACCACCAAACTGAGCAGCTAATTCTGCATATGATCGTGAATAAATATTAGGTTGTAAATTTGATATTTCATCATGAAATGTAAAATTAGATGCTAACCATAATACTTCTCCAGCATCAAATTTAAAAGTTTCTATTCCATATATTGATTGTAAATTTCTTAATCTACTTACAAACCATTCCACTGCTTTTCTGTTTGTAGTATCTAAGGCTGCAGCTTCTCCATTCCACCAATTAAACAGAAGAGTTTGCCCTTCATTATTCTTAACCCAGTAGCCATTTTCTTCTCCAATTTTATATGTTTTGCATTCTATGTTACAAAATGGATGCACCCATAATGTTGTTGGAAAACCAAGTTCTTTTAAATCATTCACCATTTTCTTTGGATTAGGAAAATTTATGATGTCAAAATCTAAATCACCATAGCAACTTTCCCACTTATCATCAATTTCTAGCTGACTAGCAGGAAAGCCATAAGACTGAATTTCAGTTGCAAATTTAAGAACTGTTGCTTCACTAATGTTTTGTTTGTATCTTGCCCATGTGGACCAGACAGGATACTGAAACATCATTTCATCTGGAATTGTAACTGGCTTTTTCAGCCACCTATGTGCGACATAAGAATACACGTCTTTTACTGACATTGCTGAACATACAGAATAAACCAACTGCGGGTTGCTTTTAATGCCATTATGATATGGATGCTTCTTGTAAGATGTTGAAAAACATAATTTTCCACTTCCACTTTCATTAAAACTTACAAATAAAGGAACTTCATGCTCGACATAAATAGCAAAACCACCAGAAGAAATCCAGAGATTTTCCATCACATTTCCTGCAGGATGGTGTAAAGGATCCCCGGTTACAGCAGGATACCATGATCTAGAATCACTTTGTAAAGGCCATCGCTGTGATATAACCACCCCATCACCATACCAAAGATCATCACCTAAGATGAAACAGTCCATTGCCCCAGTAAGGTGGAACGTCCATTGGACTTTGTGGCAACTAACTGCATGACATGTCATGCTATCTGTTTCACACTTATCTTCATTATCTTGAGTCACTAAAAGTTTCATTTGTTTACCATATCGTAGGCATATGGATTCTGCAGGGGATTCTTCTGAGCAACTAGTGTAATTCAAATTGCTCCTTTGGGGCAGCCATCCCAAGTAGCCCTTCAGTGTGTTGCCTTGAGGTGAAATGATATCTAGCAGCAGTTTGGATGACAATGTCAATTGGAGTGAATCTAAAAGTAGCGTTGGAATGCCAAATGGAGGCAAATCAGGTAAGGTCCCATGAATTTCTTGAATGGAATATATGCATAAAAGAAGCTTTATCCAAGTCATCTAAAAGTATAAAGAGCATTGAAATTAAAATTATTATTAAAAAAATGCAATGCCATATAAATATTTGTAGCATATATGTTACTGGTAAAGTTCGAAAGTCGTTAGTGTGCACATTTACTTTGCTAAAGTGCGGAATCAAGAGTTTTCTGCATCTTATCTAGATAATGTGCACCTAGGTAAGATGTAGAAAGGTAACAGCTTTTGTATCATTAAAATTCAAAAGTTATTTTATCTCATTTCCTTTCCCTCTCCACTTTGTTAGAATATACTGTAGAATACTGTTATGTCAAACAGCAGTAAAACAATCTCTTTGTACTGGCCAGGGTTTCAGGAAATGTGACTGCAAATCTAAATCCACAAATAGGTGTGTTTATCGCAAAAACTAATCTTTAGATTGCTTTACTAAGTAAGCATAATTTTATCTTTTTTTTCAAATGGGGGGCATTTGCCTGGCCGATGCCGACTGTATGACTCCAGATGTGGTGGTCTCTTAATTATGGAGGCACCTAATAGGTGGGCCACCTTTGCCTCCTATGAAGGGATAGACAATTACACCCATGCCTTCTACGGGATTCGAGCCCGGGTCCATCGGTATCGCAGTCAGGCTCCCCTAACCAATGTACCCTCTGGGCGGCATTTTATCATATGTTTCGCAAATTCATTTCCTAATTGTAATAAAATTTTAAAGTGTTTGATTCTTTGTATTAAAGTTTTTAATTGATTGATGATAATTGATTGTATTAACTTGATTCTTTAGATATCGAAAAATAAATAATAACATTATGTTAATTTCCTTAATTGTAATAATACTTTAAACCATTTTATTCATTGTATTTTAGTCATTTAATAGATTTAAGATTGATTCTGTCAACTAATTTGTTAATTGTTTGATTGTATTTACTTGATTTTTTAGATATCAAAAAATAAATAACATTATGTTAATTTAAGCTTACAGAAAATATAGCTGTTGTTCCAGCAAAGGTCTTATTTTCACTTTAATAAGTGCCTAGTAGGTAAGGTGCAGATAACCAAGGTAATTTTGAGAAATGAAACAATTTTCTGCACTTTAACAGATAACCCTAATTAATTTCCACATTTTAGTGGTAATATAGATATAATTAAAAATAACACATATAATGTGAGATGCCCACAAGGAAATTTTTATTATCCTTCAAAAGTTAAGTACTGAATATTCTCAAATAACAAATACATCCATACTCAGAATGGTCTAAAATTTAACGTTCAAATGGGATCTATAAATATCATCATTTGGTGAACTGCAATTGGTTTCCAATCAAATATGCAAAATAAATATAAGAAAGAAAACATTATATGTGAATCAAGTTATAACTCTAATAGTAAATTTTTCTTGAAGGACATTGAATTTGAGCAATATTTTATTTTGTTATGATTCTGAGAAACATATGGAAGATACATTAATATGATTTGCTCTTCAGAGATTAGGACAGCACAATTCTTTATAGAGCCGTTCTGTGGATCATTACATTTCATATTTAATGGAACAGTTCCAGATCAGTAAAATAGTCATCTGAAGATGTGTTTGGGGGTGTATATGATTACAATATTGTCCAGCAATCATGCAGGTCAGTGCAGTCTTCAAACAGTAGCATTCTTTCTCCAAGCCATCTGTTGTAAATAGACCAATATCCATTAGTACTCTGAAGCAAAATCTAAATGTAAATTTTTCTATGTATGGTTTTTCTTAAGTTTACATTTTATGTGATCTCTCATCAAGGGAGCAGAGTCAGGCAATAAACATGTGATGATCTAGAGAAAATTTAGCACTAATCTTGTAACTAGCCAGCATAATCATAATACAAATATAATTGCATATAAATAACTAACAATTAGAATATGAACAAAAGTTTTGAAAAAATGACTTTATTAGATTTATGTTTTGTTATTTTTGTATTGCTATTATTTTTAATTTTGTTAATTTAATATAAAAAATTATAAAAAGTTTTCAGAAAAAAATTACAGATTCTAATTACAGTTTGATCATTGCAATGGATGTACCAATTGCAAATTTTTTAATATTTATTATTGAATTGTTTAACCCTTTGAGTACTGAATTAGTTGAAGATTTTTATGCCCATAGGACGGATTTAATTTGTCAATATATGGATTAATATGTATAAGTAATAAATCTTATTTGGAATATACTTATATTGGTGATATAAATATATTTTTGAAATAACATTTTAGTTACAACACTGATTACGGTTGCCCAAGTAAGCAGATGATGAGTCTCACTCCTCACATGTACCCAAAGGGTTAACTTAATTCTTAAATCAATTTGGTCAAAAATATTCAACTTGTTTCTTGTTTTCTGTAGTAAATTATTGACTTGACTATAGCCTGCTTCTATTAGGGGAGAAGAAAGAGAACGCCAATAATGTTTTGTTCTATAACAACTTTTATTTTGAGACCTTTTTCTCGTATGTCTTTTATAAACCTGAACGTAGTATATGTGTAACATAGCATATGTAAAACTATGTGTTTTGAATAACAGTTGACTTTGTCTGATATAGCTTTATATCACTGAATGATTAATTATCAATTAATAAATTGCTGCATTCAATGAAATCTTGATTATGCTGATCAATTGCCATTGCACATTCAGCTGTCAGTCCTATGATTATCAATGATCCCCTTTTAAATTTCACAAATCCACTAGGAATCTGGGCTAGGAAAATGCAAGATTGTACAAACTTGATATGCTAAAGCCGAGTATGAGCCTAACATAATAAAATAAAGTATGGCTGCATAAATTAGTGCAGTAATTAATATATCATTATTTAATTTTATCTTCAAAGAAATGGAAATAGAAGTAAAATGATTAAATAATAGTATTTTAATTAGATTTTATCATACTTTAACATTTCAATTCAGTATTTTTTTATGAAAAGAGTTTTCACATTTTAACTACAATGCATATTATTTTAAGATTAAAGGCAAACTAATACAAACATCAAGAAATGCATGTTGTTATTAAAAAGTAATCCAAATGTTTACTATTCAGGAATAAATTCAATTAAATGAATCGGAAATTTTTTTCCTTGTGAAGCAGCTTGAAACTAAATTATTGATTTCTTATATATACAATACATATTACTTTTATTATAAATTATTTTAACCTTCTAAGGTTGGACATATGCATGCAAATACTATTTCAAAATTCTCTCTTATTTAGGGAGTACTCAAAAACACATGACACGAACAGAAATAAATTATACGAAAAATTCATAAACCTAAAAGAATTCTAACTAAATTTCAATGTTGCTGAGAATAACAAGGGAAATGTAGTTTATAAAATACTACAGTTTATCATATGCTAATTGTAAGATATTTATTATACATGTTACTATAAAATATTCAGATTTATTAAGAATGCGAAAAATGTCTGCTATATTTATAGCATGCATATAATAAGAATATTTAGTCAAGTGGTCATGTACTGTTTCATTAAAATCTATCAACTACTAAAATTTTTTAACTGCTAAAGTAACCATGTACTGTATGAGAATTCAGATCATAATGAAATGCTTAATATATTAAACTTCTCAAAATCGTGAAAACAACCTTGTATTTAGCGTAAGTATCTTGAAACAATCGATTTCGAGGGCAGCTAAAGGTCTCTCCTCATCAGGAGAACGAAATTACTAGAAGGGGGACCTAGAAAGAAGAAAAATAAAGGATTGGCAACGGTGTCTCAGAAACACGTGATCCTTATCAGCACTGCGCGTGGTTATAACTGGATTTTTAAATCAGAGTTACACTGGTCGCCTACTTTTACTGAGCCAAGCTATCTAATCAAACATATGACACATAGACTAAAACGCAAGAACAAATGAGCGAAGATCAAAAAATAGGGAGCGAAGGGCAACTGCACCTTCACGCTCAAAATCTGAACTTTGAATAATGGAAAGCAACCACTGAACGGACTTTTATACCCTCTGGTAGTACCAAACGCGAGGAGGTAACGCCATCTATCGGCAAAAATAACTGAATTAAGATAGTAGAATTTTAAAGGCATTAGGAAGGACTGGATTGGACTTCAAATCATTAACTAAACCTGCTAAATCTTTGTGAATATGAAAAGCCTCAAGAAAATCCAATTCACCTATGGAAGAAGCCTTTTGGATAATTTTTGCAGAAGTCAAAATTATGGTTAAATGTCCAACTATGATACACTATTCAAGACTTGTTAATTTCGCCTTTTCTGACATAAGATTCATGTTTCTTGATACGAAACTTCAACGCTCTTTTTGTTTGGCCAGTATATCTTAAACCACACTGACACGATATACTATAAATTCCCCAAAAATTCAAGACAGAAACGCAATCTTTTAGAATGGAAGGGTGAATTTTATTAATAGGGGAGAAACCGACTTGAAAATTGAATTTCTGGAGAATCCGTGCAATTTTATAGCTAACAGAAGGATAAAATGGAAGCACGACAAGGTCATTAATATTATTTCTAACAGTAGAATGTCTTCTTTCATGGGAATCTGAAAATTTTTTAACGGCTTTATCAATAATCACGGAAGAAAATCCACGGTCAATCGCAACTGCTCTCAAATAAGGACGAGAACTTCTGATCTTCGAATAATGGAAACAATCTGAACTTCGAATAATGGAAAGCAACCACTTAACGGATTTTTATACCCTCTGGTAGTACCAAATGCGAGGAGGTAACGCCATTTATCGGCAAAAATAGCAACTGAATTAAGATAGTAGAATTTTAAAGGCATTAGGAAGGACTGGATTGGACTTAAAATCATTAGCTAAACATGCTAAATCTTTGTGAATATGAAGAGCCTCAAGAAAATCCAATTCACCTATGGAAGAAGCCTTTTGGATAATTTTTGCAGACCCAAAGTCAAAATTACGGTTAAATGTCCAACTATGATATACTATGATTATTGATAAAGCCGTTAAAAAATTTTCAGATTCCCATCAAAGAAGACATTCCACTG